TATCAATGTTAGTTTCTGATTCTGCCATTGTTGTTGTTGAGAGATTTGGGAAAAGCCCGAAGAAGCACAAGTCGATTTCGATTATAGTTTATCTTACAAAACTTGTGAAAGTAGTTGATTGATTGATGAAAGGTCGCATTCCTATATACGTTGGATGGACGAGAGTTATGGAGAAACTTGTGTTTTACAATGAGTCCACGTTTTTTATCTGTGTTTAGAGGGTAACAAATTGATTACTTATGTCCCTACATCGACCACTAATTGTTTAAATGTATTATTATTATGAGTTTGGTTTAATGATTTTTTTCTTTCGCAGTGAGACCATAAGAAGAAAAAATATTAAAAAAAATTGGTAACGACGAGAGACGTAATGGATTTCGCAGTATCTTCTTCCCTGATTCACTGGTTCCTAAATGGACTTTTGGCTTTTTTCTTTTTTCACCTGTTTCTTGAATGCTTCTGCAAATTTGGCCAGGGCTCTCAATAAGATCGAAGAAGATATCGAGATCAAGGATGAGGTGAAATGAACATTTGTCTTCTGTGTTTAGGATTATTATGAATCTTTGGTTTTGGTGTAAACCAATATATTCCTTCCAATTAGAAAGAAGAGCTTACGATGGACATAGACACGCAGGTTTTACTTCTGTTTGGCCTTTAAAGCTTCTAAGACCACCAAAGACATTAGCAAAAAATTTCAAATGAGGCTCGTCTATTACATGATTGACTGATCATGCCATATGAAGTAGTAGCTGCTTAACAAGAGTTATCATCAAATCAATATACCTGAAAACGAACATGTATTCGAGTCTTATTGCCAAAAGTTCTTGTGAACACAAGTCAAATCAAGCCTACTAATTAAGCAGATTCAATGTAACAAGACCCTTGGTAGTACCATAAACAAATAAGGGCCTAGGTTTGAAAAGTCTTAACCAAATTGAAGAAAAACAAAAAAAAAATCCTTTTTGGGTTATTTCGATTAGGTGTAGGAAACTTAAAAGAATGCTGTTAAAGTTAAAGAGTCACCAACCAAGAAGTCAAACCCAAAAACTCTCTTTATTGGAAAACGCCCAAGAGAAAACTATGTTCTGTCCCTCGCCCTAACCCAACAAAACCTTCAAAACATCTCCAAACCTAATCCTTATTAATGATTAGAACGTATAAGTAAAACATATAGGGAATATAAGAACGAAAAAAGACAATCCTAAATATTTCCCTAAATCACGAAATAGAAAGAATAAGTATCAAAAAACCCATTCATTTTTCCCTTTACACATGGAAGTTTTGATCTCTGTGATTCTAAAGAAATGTGTACAAAAGGAAGATGAAGTTGGAAGGTTACACTGTAAGGCACATGTTATCCTGTGCAAGAATGGTTGCAGATGAGCTACATTTTTCTGTGCCAACTTCCACATAAGCGAAATGCTTATTTGGTTCTCTTATGTCTCTTCACTTACAGCCCGTTTGAATTCTGTCACGACAAAGGCATGAACGGTTAGAGAATAGTTCGTCTGAAGAAAGAGCAAAGTATTACATAAATCTCTGGATGCCATAAGTGTTGTGCAGTGAAACGCCTCAAATGTGTTGAGCTTGCCAGTGTCGCGACTAAGAAGCACGCACACGAGAGTAGCTTCATATGCATATCTCAAAACATATTCTCTACTCATCAGAAAGAGATTACCAGAAACAACTCATGTAACGCTTTGAACAGCAATAATTGTTTTCCCTGGAGATAAGAAAAGTCCAGAAAGATGTAATTTTCAGGTTATATAACCACAGTTCAAGCAAGTTGAGAAGCTATTTCACGGTGTCACAAGTACAGAAATACAACAGATGTAATAAGTTTCAAGAATAACTCACCAGGAAAATTGCCCTCTTCATCAGTCAAACATGCATCTCCAACGAGCGAGATTTGCCAGAAGATGACTCCCGTGAAGCTCATTCACAAAGTTCTTCTGCTTTGACATCTTTTAACATTGACTTATAGGACAAACATGCTCTAAGTAACGTTGTAACCTTTAACCTCAAGGCATATGTAGCACAACACAAGTTTATATGCCATAACTATCTATCCAATCCATTTCTCAGCCAAGTGAGCACCATTAACATGAAAAGCAAAAGATCTCAACTGATTTTTGACAAAAGACCACAGCATTTAATGCTTGAACAGGACGAGATGTAGAAAGTAGAATCAATTAAGGGATCCATGAATCCCGATAGCTTCGAGATCAAGATTTTCCCTTTTACAGATAAAACTTCTTGATTATATAATTTCTGTTAATACTTTGATCAAATCTCCAGAAAGTATACAATAAAAACTTGCAAAGAGTCTATTTCCACGGCACAAGAAATTAACAGGGCACAAGTCACACAACCACCAGTAGAAAGTAAGGGACGAGTCAAGTCATTGTGGATATTAGAAAAAAATTCCATTGAAATGAGAAAACAAAAACGGATGTCAAATTTGTTATTAAGATATGAATTCTAAACAATGCTAAAGACTAAGTTACATACAGAGCAAACTGCAGCTATTACATGATTGACATTATACCTTGTACCAACTTATAAGCACAGTATCTCTGCAAAACTCTCTCCCCAATTCCCCTATTGGCCTTGGGTTTACACACAAAGCTCGAAACTCTTTTGAGATTGCCAATTACTGCTAATCTTACAACATGACAACCAACAACACGTATCTTTATACGGTTCTTTGCGATTAGTTGCATTTTAAAATAATCTACTAACCTGCTCTGAGTCTGTTGCAGCAGGATTATAATCATGTGCTTTTCAGCACAGAACTCATAACTTCATCCCTTTCCGGTCCATCATGGAACTACACAGTAGAAATGTTTTTGCATTCAAAATCTGTTGTCCCCTTTTGGACGAGAGCAGGCTGAATCAGACAATACATAACATCAACACGCATGCCGGAGGTTTCTTTCACACATCAAATTCTTGTTCCTCAAAAGATCGCATGGAAATTCTTTCTCGGAGAATTGGCCAGTCTTCGCCAAGCTGGTGTGGATTTAACTCCATGGCAGTTCTAAAATCAAGCAGAGACACAGAATGCTGATCTTGTGTTATGTGAGAAGGTCCATTGGGAGTTTGTATTTGCAAACTATTACTTGGCAACACCCCATTTACAATCTTGTTTAGACTCTGCTGCTTGTCTAAAGTTTTTTTCCTGGAATCTCCATTTGTAGACCGAGCTTCAACCAAATCAATGCACGATTTGATCAGGTTCTTCAGGAACAAGTCCAACATGTTATTCATCGTATTAGAACACTCCATCGAAACCCCAAGACCCTGTGATGCTGCAATATTCTCCATTCTTTTCCTCAGCATCTCTGTGTCTGGTAATCCACCACTGTCGTAGCAACTAATTAACTCAGCGCTGGTTGGAACGGGAACCGTCCTACGTGATCCACCGACACTAGCTGAACAAAACGGAATCCCTAGAGGTGCAATCAGAGGACTCGTTGATAGATTTAGCCTAGCCTGCTCCTCTTGATTTTCATCATCTCTCATAGCTGCAGTTGCAACGTGATCTTTATTTGGTATTCTCGGTTTTTCAACAGGACGAAGAAATTCCCCATCTCTTTCATCAGCAACATATCTGCCTGATCTTTGATAATCAAATTGACCCAAATCCCCGTTCTCCATACCAACACTACCTCTATTGTCTTCTCTAAAAATAGGCTGATGCAACATATGTTCGACCTTCCCATTTGACCCTAGTGGACTAGGCCTATCTCTGATCTTCCTGTCACGTATCCCAGACCTAATTTTCCGCGGAGAGATGGGCAAAATCCCATTCGACAAAACAGGGTCATTCTGGTTATGGTTAGGGATTAAAGGTCCACTTTGTTCAGGACCATCTCCTCTACTCTGAAAAGCATTCACCAACGGCTTGGTGAGAGGACCGGCTTCCTCAACTGTAGGCGGAGACTTGGCAACAGTTGCATTTCTCAAGATTGAACGGATCAGCTGATTATGTAGAGGGAGATTCTCCCTCCCTAACAGCCTGAAGCACGTCTTATCAAACTCGCTCTTAGTAATCTTCTGACTCAGAAACCTGCTTAAGTAATAAAAATACCTTCTCGATCTTTCATCTCCAATCTTCTTCACAATGTGCCCTTTCAATTCACCCAGATTAATCCTCTGGTCCTGAGAACGTTGCATGATTACACTCACTTTGTATCGGAAATTCGTAACTCTTTTCCTCTATACCAAAACCAAATGAACAGTGGGAGAGTGCACACAAAACGCACTCTCTCAACCTCTATTGCCCTTCACACAAACAAATCTCAACTCCTTACAATGCAATGGTACAGGCTCTTCCATACAATGCAAAGCCAAATCTCATATCCCCAGAAGCAAAACCCTAGAGATTCATATCTAAAGGCCAGCTCGAAGAAAAGCCCTCAAATTTCAACACTGCTGATTCAATATCAGTATCAATTAAAAACCCTAGCTTTGGGTCGCCCTCTCGAGGAAGAAACAGCGCACGAGCCTTCTCGCCAACTTGACGAAACTGCACCAGCAAGAAAGACCCAACATTGTCATGCCCAATTCGGAAGCTAAAAGCTTGAGAATTTTCGAAATTTAATAAGAGTAAATCGAGATCAGTGTGTTTGAAAGATCCAAGCTTGGGAACAGAGCAAAGACCCGAAATTGGGTAGAGAAAATATGAAATTCGAATTGGACAAGGAGAGAGCGAGGCAATGAGGAGGGAGACGAAAGTTTGTAAGCAGAAAAAAACTAGTGTTAAATATCGATTCGAGACCTAACTCAAGCAAAGATTGACCAGAATTTCAGACAATATAACACGAGACCGAACAAGTAAAACTTCCCGACCAAACCTATGATTGCTGGTTCCTTACTTGTATGTGTCGCTTTGATTCTGTGACCCCCAAAAATCTTGGATTCTTCGTGGCTTTCTCTCGTATTGTCGTCGGATTTGAATGTCTGAGCTTTTCGCTCTTCTGTGTTAAAGCTTTCGATCGCTGCTTATTGGG